TTTATTATTATTTGGACATTGAGACCTAAACAATGGTCTTCCCTCCTCCTCTACCTAAACTGGGAACTAACTCCATCTGCAGTCATACATATTTAGGTTTCCAGAGTGAGTAAATCAAACTTTAATTGTGGGTGTAAATACATAGTTCATTTCTTTTCCAGCAAAAAGAAGCACTTGAAATTTCCTCCTTTGAAACTCTTTTAAAAATAAAATCCTTACTGCATCCATACATGTCTCTTAATTTTAAAGGTAAAATTATAAATTGGGTTAAATATTAAGGGGTTAAATACAGGGAATGTTTATATATTTCACATAGAGTTTTAGAGGGCAAAGATACAGACATTCCATCCTTTTAAATGTGAGGTGTGAACTCCATCTGAGCCACAGATGCAGTTCTGTGAAGAACTGAAGGCAACAGTCACTGAACCAAAGTCACCTCCAAGTACATGAAGCACAAAGAGGTCAATGTATTCAGTAAAACCCTTCAGCTCTGACCTTTTGTCAAAAAAACCAAGAAGAATTCATACCTAATCTAGCAGGCACAGCTAGAAGGTGCATTTAAAAAAACATCTAAATTCAGATAACATATACACTTAGATTTAGTTCTTTTCTTTCCACTTTATAACACTGCCTCCACTTCAGATCAATGGTCCTTCAAATGAAGGTCAATGGGATTTCTGCAGTTTTTCACACACTTCTCAGAAGCAGCTGAAAGCTGCTTCCAAAGAAATTGGACATAAACTTCTACTCTGAAAGGTTAAAGATTCAGACAGTTCGGGGGAACTGAAAAGACATATTATGTAATATGTTCTACCACCTAACACCAACAGCATGAAGACATTATTTGTCATGTCCCAGTCAGCAATGTTATGGATTTTTATGGAATCCTAGCACAGAATGAAACAATAGAACCAAATTCAGAATGAGTTTAGAACACAAAAATTCTTAATATTAGATGTGTGAAATATCCCTTTTTTTTGATTTACACTTTTTTTTTTAAGTGCACATTGTAGTGTTAAGAAAACTATTATTTATATGAAATGGGGATCCTGCAGTAAGTCAAAGAATCACGGAACTACTGGTTATAGGGGACCTATGCAGATCATGTATTCCAACACCCCTACTGAAGATAGAGTAGGTTGTCCAAGACCTTGTTCAGGCTTTTGAAGATCTACAAGGAAGGAGATTCCACAGCCTTTGTGGGCAACCTACCCAGTCACTCTCACACTAAAGTGTTTCCTGATGTTTTGACGGACTCTCTCTTGTGTTCCATGTTGTGCCCATTGCCTCTGATCCTGTCCCTGAGCACCACTGAAAAGAACCTGGCTCCATCTTCTTCAGGTATTTATACAAATTGGTAAGATCCTCTTGATCCTTCTCTTCTCCAGGACACACAGTCACAGCTCTCCCAGCCTCCCACATATCAGACGCTCCACTCCTTAATCATCTTCATGGGCCTGCAGTGGAGTCACTCCAGAAATTCCATAACATTCTTCTACTGGGGAACGCAGGACGGGACAAAGCACTTCAGATGTGGTTTAGCCTCTTCCGTGTAGAGAGGAAGGATCACCACCTTTGAACTGCTGGCAACGCTCTACCCAAGGCAGGGTAGATACTGTTGGAGATGATAATCTTAGCAGGACTCAAGCTTACCTTCAAATCTCTTAAATATATACTCTGATAGGAAACATGTAGAAAAGCTAAAGGAAAATAGTAATTGAAGCAGTCACTTCCAATTACTTCATCTGATATTAAGGATTATTTAATACATCCTGAGCTAGGAGTTTAACCGTAATTACAGATTTCAGGATGCATTGTGTACAAATTACATTAGAGTGTGGAAAACTGGACAGAAAACACTTCACAGACTTATTGGACCTCAGAAAAATATATATGATAATAGCATGCATGCCATATAGTTTCCCTAGAGAAATGAAAGAAGATGGGAAAAAGGATTGAAATTCATCTTCATACGAAGAGGGAGGTAGGAGAAAGGATGAGTATTGAAGTTCATATGAAGAACTGCTCTTGAAGAAATAAAGTACTTGTCTAGGTATCAGATATTTATAGAAGTACCTACATCTGGATGATGAGCATTACTGTTTAGCCTAGTACTCACAGCCAATTGCCATTTGTATTAGCTAACAAAACAACTGTTGCATATTTACAGTGATCTTCATTTCCAATCTCTACGCACAAAGGTGACCAAATTTTTCAAGGGCAGAGCACAGTTCAGAGTCGAGTCTTTTTAGGAAAACAGAGCTCTTAGAAAATACAGAACTACTCCTGAATAGCCTAGACAGAGCACTGATATGTTCACATAAAAATTCATGGCATTTCTGAAACATGAAAATTATGAAATCCAAGAATACAAGCATTAATTGAATGCTACATCCCAACCACTATCCAATTTCCACACAGGAGTGAGTTTCTTTCATTTCAAGGACTGAAGTGATCTTCCTCAATAGCTCTAAAAAGAGGTGAAGTTGTTCTGTTTGCCTCAGCATGCAGAGAGTGAAGTTTTAACTGAAGACTTGGGCTTAGTACACCTGGGCATGCCCTCTTTACCTTGTGTTATGAAAAAGAGCCTAAATTAACTTCATCAGTTATGGACAACACTAATGGCTAAAGACAGACTTACATGGTCTTTAGAGTACTTCTACGTTTTTTTCCTTTCATAGTAAATTTTTCTAGAATTTACTTGCAGCTTCATGAGGAGAGATGGAAAACTATTGTATTTTTCTATTCTCACATTGAAATGCCAATTTTCTAGTCTCAGTAGGTGTCATGTTGTCTATCCTTATCAAAATTATAATTAAAATGTAAGGCACCAAGTCCTACACAGCTGTCCAGTTCATAAATCTGGAAAACAATTTTCTTAATGCTTCTCCATCTTTCCCTAGTACAATTATAACTGCACAAGTTCTCTCCTTTGTCAGTATACAAAAAATCTTTTTCAAATTTGCTGTTCCTTCGTTGCCTATGAACAAAAAATGGTGGTAACTGATCTGCCTAGAGGAGAAACAGTGTTGCCATATAGTTTGCATTCTTGAACACAAGTCTTTCTTTAAGAAGATAAGAAATTCTCTAAGAAAAAAAATTACTCCCTGACCAAATAATACCTAAATCATGTGATACACATCTCTGGAGTATAACAGGATCTCAGACTAGCTTCCTAAAATCAATAAATGTATTTCAGCATAGAAGGATCTTTGCTGCCTAAAACAATCTTTATAGATCAAGAGAGAAAGATACAGATGCAGCACAGAAATTATATATTCTTAATAGTCTCTTAGGATTTGTACATCTTACCTAAGTATACTTCAGCACAGAATAATTAAACAAGAAGAAGTGTCTTAGCATATCCTTAGCATTATCTGAAGTAATATCAGAACAGATATTACTTTGTCATTAAAAATACATTCATTCTCATGATAAAATATTACCTTAGCCCATCTCATTTTCTAGATTTGACTATTTGTACTAATGATTTTCAAAAGTATTCATAAAATCTGAATCAAAAACCCAAATAAACCAAAGCAATGGTTTCCCAGACAACATAGCTAGAAGAGTTAGTAATGTTTCAGCAGAAACAGAACCTTCTATTCAAATTATAAGTATTGTTTGCAATTATACTCATAGCAACACTTATCAACAGCATCATGGTACAAAGTAGGTAAGAGTTTTTGCAAATTTCATTTCCCTCAACCTTCTAAGATATTAGTAACATATTTTTGAAAAATAGTTATGCAGCCTATTTGTGTAGCAAGTCCACCAGAAAATTCTGATGAGTGCAGGTTCTACTTTCAGCCACACAAGGACCACACCTAAAATGAATCTAAAAGAAGCAACAGAATCTGTTTAAGAAGTATTCTTGAAATTAAAAATTCATTTATTTCATTGGGGTATATTTTGACAAAAGAGATCACTGATTTTCAACTCCACTTATTTAGGACTTGTTAAAAAGGACTTCCTAATACCTTAGGCTTTTGTGAGAAACATAAGGTAGCAAGGATTCTTTTTCAGCACAACTGATTTATGATGTTCTAACAGAAAATTCTAGTTACTAGTCAGTATAACTAGCTAGAAAAGAACCATAACAACTGAAGAACTTGCAAAGTGGTAAAAACCCCCAGAACTTTGTCCGTTCAAAAAGGCTAATATTCACTCCCTGAAGAATATAACTACTGTTGAAACAAAGCCTAAGAAACTTTAATCTTGTTGGATTTCTCACTGTTTCCCTCAGTGAAAAAGAGTTGTTTAAAGATTCCACCAGAATTCCAAAACAGTCTCTGATTCCATTGAATCAGAGACTTTGACCGTAGCAGAGTAACATGAAATAAGAGAAATTTTTAGTAGCATTATCTATGATTGCTATTCATGCTGAAAGTTATCCTCTATAAATGAGAATGCAAGTGAGCGAGGCACAGGTGCCTTGGTAGACCGAAGGTAACTTATTGCAGCTTTACATGCAAAAATGCTGTCCTACAGATCTGAAAATCACACAAGCTATCCTGTTTTCACTGTATACAGAATCTCATGCATCCAGAAAGAGTTGTTGTTCTGAAATGAAAGTAAGGGGCCTTACATCAGCCTTTTCCTTTTTTTAATTTCTTTCATTATCAAAAACAGTAATAAAATAATTCAATCCCTGCCCATGAACCCTAATTTGATGCAATCTACGTATGAATATAAATCTGGTGGTTGCATGTTGAAGAGGCTTTCAAACAGCTATAGAAGGTTTGTTTTTTTCTTTAGCCACAGGTATTTCAGTTGTTCTTAGGAATTCTAAAATTTCATACATGCTTAATTCAACCTTCATTTTTTTTTTAATTTTTTACATATTACTAAACCAACTTAAAATCCATACTTATAAACCAAACACTCTTTGCTTTTAAATAAATAGTTGTGAATTTTAGCATTTAGACATTAAGAGTGAAAATCCTGAACTTAAGGTATAGCATTCCAAGAAACTTATAAATGAACTCTTGACAAAAGACTCAAGAAAATATATTTATTCAATTTTGGCAGAGGAAGAAAACGTAATAAATACGACAACTTCTTACACCCTTCTTTACAAGTTATTTTTATATCACACTTCTGCTACAAATTTCAGTGTTTCAAATTTTAAAAGAACATATTCACTGAAAAATTAAGAACTTTTAATGTGAAAAAGTACACAAAATAAGAGTGCAAATGTTTTATTTTTTGTGGCTAGTGCTTAATCTTCAAGTCCTTTAGAACACTGCAGGAAATGCTTTAGATCAGTAACATTGAGAGCATCCAATTACTACTCACAAGTATGTTAAGTGAATAATATAGATTGTAATTTTTCATGATATGACATCAATTTGTCTCTGAAATAATATTGAAAAAGACTTTTCCAAATTTCTGTTATTATGATAATTTTACAAATCCCCCACTGAAATCCCCAGCTGAAGCAAAATGAATCTAAGTGGAACCTCCTCAAAACAAGACATCCACCAGGCAAGCACTATTTCCATTCTGAGATGTTTATACAGTTCTTTGGAGTGCAACTGATACCTTCTCAGCAGAAGCAGATTCAAGTCCATTAGGATTTTTATTTTCACAAACACCAACCGAGGCAGCAATCCCTGAGATTCTCCATGAAGCCTGTAGCTGTGTTTTGACAGCCATCATGTCTCACTACTTTTTTATGTGCCATCTATTCAAACCAGTTTTCTTTCAACAAAAAACGTACAGCATCGTCAAAGCCATTTTGGTACAATGATTCCATTTTCTCCTGGTCTGGTGGGAACAAAGCTTGATTAAGTCTTACCAGGTTGGCCAGTGACAGCTGCAATAGAGCAAGAAGGTACAAATTAGTTTGTTAAAGCAACTTATCTAGATGTGACTGTTCTGTCACGTGTTTCATGTAGCATATGCAAAACCAAAAGAGCAGCAAGGCTGTGTCTACACCAGGAAATTAACCACGTCCAGGTTCACTGCTGAGCACCAAGACAAACTGGCACAAACACCACATACACACTACTAAACTCACAGCATCCAAAACAGACTGTCTGCCTGTAAAACTGCCCAAAGTTTTTGAAACACTTTAAGTCTGGAAATAATCCCAAAACTGTCTGGCAGAGTGGTAGCTGGCACATGCTAAACTTGTGCAAGGAATAATATTTTGACAACTTACTAGTGCAAACAACCACATCCTTGGGAACATTCCCAGGCAATGTTTACATATGAGTATAAACGTAGCTTGTATTACCAACAATTAAGGACTACTCAGCTTTTTAACTGGTCACTCCATCATGTATAAATATTTTGGAGCTTTATTCTTGAAAACAGACTTTATTAAATTATGGCCAAATAAAAAATATAATTAAATTCAATAATGTTCTGAACAATTTGTTTATAAAATTAACTTAATATTTTAGCCACATACTTTATTATACACAATTTTGCTAAACAATATCAACATCATCTTCATTATTTAAAATAAGCAATTATTCAAATTCATTCTAGAAGATGGAGGAGATTCAAAGAGACAAAAAATTGTTAACATTCCAATATAGATAAATGAAGATATGCAATTCTTCAATTTATGAGGATTACAATATTGCTGAAAAAAAATGGTTCTTAGTGATCATTCTTACAGTTTTAAGAGCTAGAGATGCTTCAAATCAAATAGTTTAAAATGTTTCTGAGATTCTGCACAAGTCTGCACATGCATGACCCCAGAAGCAATTAATTTTCTACTCTAAACTAAACTAATCACCAACTAATTTTTCCTCCTCTAGATACACTAGATATTAGATACAAAATATGACCAAGAAATACACAGTAAGTGATTGTGTATATTTTCGATATGTACTTTATGACCTTTTGCCAAGCACTACCATGCTTAAAATCTCTCTGCGAAACACTATAAAGATTCAGAAACTGGTCCAATTTAGAATGACATTACATAACACTAATTTTACTAAAATTAAGAAAACCTTAAAAACTGTCTAAAAAGAAACCTAAAGTACCAATTATTATTAATCTTTATTGTTTCTTTCTAATGGAATATTGTTGACCACTAGGTCTATCATTATTCAATATTTTCTTTCATCATGTCAAAAGAAGCAAGACTAGTTAAAGTGTATGAGACAAAGGTTGCAAAGACAGAAATGTCAACAATGAAAAGGAGGCAATAAAAAATAGTCTTATCTTATATCTCAACATAGGGAAATGTTTCTGAAACTTCTAACAAGACTTCTGCAAAAGTCTTGTGGTCACAGGTGTTCACAAGCTCTCTTGAGCAATGCGGTGACAAGTCACTGCATGTCACTTCAAATGTAGAACTTAAACTTGTATTTTAAATTCAGTTCAATAGAGCAATAGAGTTCAATAAGTATGAAGAAATGTTCTGGAGTTCTCCTTTACTGAGGTATTCAATTTGGTTTTTTCCTATAAACACTGTACCTAGCCATAGACTGATGATATGTAAAGTAAGCCTAATATTATTTACACTTAACAGCCTGTTATAATGTGCTCAATTTTGTACTAGATCAATGATTTTCAAACTTCCTTCTTTATTCTACATTTTCCTTCCCTTGTGTCTAAGAAAAGGTTTAACCTCCATTTGCAAACCAGAAAATGCCAAAACTTTACATAAGTTGATATATAACACAAAATAGACACTTAAATATAAACATAAACTTAACTGCAGAAGTACCTTTTATTCTTTTTAAGGTAATTAATAAACAAGTAACTCACCATCATATCTTGTTTTGCTAATTTAACATAAAGATCCACACGTCCTTTATCTTGTGGACAGATATCCAATCGACCGCTGAAAGGAGAAATCGTCACAGTTCTTCCAAAAGGCAAGATAGGAAGGCCATTGGTAAGACCACCATCAACCCACTTCTATTGGGAAACAGAAGTATTTTCCAAGTTACTCTAGTACAGTATGATCATAATGGAATACTTTTTCCTTCTTGACCTTGCCTCCTCCAGTCCACTCTTAAGAAAATGTACAGGTTTCCTTCTAAGAATACAATGGATAATATCGAATATGTGGCACAAATATCAAAGAACTGACAATGTACACACAGAGTTATGAATCAATGACCATTTGACATAATGTGCATATTTGTGTGTAATGTATTTATCAAGTTCTGATAAGGTTCGTTGATTAATCTAATAATAAAATGCCCCCTACAGAATTTTTCTCAACACACACATGAAAATATAAGACTTTTAATATTACACATGAATCACATTAAATGCTGTATATTCCTCTAGAACATTATTCTGATTGAAACGAGGAGCTGCACAATCTGTAGGTGCAGGTAAACTGACTGCACAAGCAAAACCACACATCACTCCTACCCCTCTTCTATGATTCTTCTTCCAGAGTCTCATGTCTTACATACACTACACAAGACAGCAGCAGCTGGAAAGTGGAGGATAAAGGTGGGAAGGAGTTGAACAGCTATGACATAGGAGGGAGCAGACAGGAGTTAAGTATTGTGAAGAATGAGATCTAGAGGCACAAATCTGATCTTTAGAAGGACCACGGCCAAATTCCATTCCAGTATAAGCAGGACAGTTGTGATATTTCTGGCTAATATATTTTATATCTTCATATTTCTTTCTATGCTTACATGCATAACCCAAAACCCAACAGCCCTCTGCTGGCTAGATGCATTCACTAACATCATACATGAGGTCTGATGACCAAAAGCATCTCACTGAACTTTACACACCTAAATTCAACTAGTAATTCTACACTTCTTTTATCATCCAAGGGAGAGAAAACAGTAACAAAAGTTAAAAAAAACCCAAATCAACAAAAAGCTCTCACAAAAAGTATATGATTAGGAAGTTTTTTATGACATTTAAATGTTTGCACAGTCTCCCCACACCACCCTCTTCTTCACTATCTCAGATGAAAGTTTATGTTCCTAATTTCAAAATATAAGCTATAAATATTAACATTCAACAGTTTCTATGGCCCTTTTCATCCTGTTACTTCATTGTATGCTTTAGCACTTGACTCTTGACATTACCTCATGTCAGCACCCACAATCCACCACTGAATTCCTTCACTTTGCACAAACATCATATTTCTCAATGCTTAGGATTGAGATTGTTTTGTCTTAGAAAATAAGGTAAAAAAAGAATAAAATTCCAGAATGATAGCTATCTTTCAGATTTCTCAAACTTCTATTACAGCACTGCTGTGATAGCTGTGAGTAGAGCTGCAATATACCATAACATTTCTAACACCACAGTTTTTTTGTGTGTATCTATAAATAGTAGTTTATTATTGATTCATATGCCATGTTCCTTGTAGTAGCAAGTGGCTTTTTGTTGTATTTCCTACTGTGAAAAGTACAGTGGATGCCCTGTCTAAGCCATGTCAAAGAAAACGTAACAGATGACATTATTAATGTTTTTCACAAGTCTAGCTTAGCACTGCTACAACTTAAAAGTTCTCACACTTTTAAAAATTTTGATTATTTATTTTTCTCCCCTCTCCTCTTATGTAACTTCAATATTTATTTGAAAACCAAAACATTTACCAGGGCATCTCAGTAATTTTTATTTAGCACTAATTTCTATAGATTCTGTTGTTTTATTTTCTTTCAAGCATTTCGTAGAAACTGCTTTTCAGTCAAAAATACTCTATCTCCACAGTCCCTTGTGTTTAATAGTTATAAAACATTTATTTGCTGCAGACAAAGAAAAGTGATGTCCCAGCTTCTTTTAATTTCATTAATCAGTTCTTGAAAGATGCTTCTTAGCTGATGAGACAAATTCCTGGTAACTTCTGAATCAGTGTCACTAATATCTAGTACAGTGTAAAGACAGAGAAAGTTTTGAAATAACGTGCGATGAAAACCAAACCAGCCAATAGGAACAAGGATGTGGGCTTGACCTAACACAATCTACCCGTTTATCAGTTTGGTTTTTACAAAGCTGTTCCATATTAACTACAGTCACACAAACTACAGACTCATCATCAAATACAGTCAACTCAATTATCTGTCTTAAAAATTAACCTTGTCATGTCAAAGGACACCAAACTAAGTCAAAGAAAGATAATTTCACATGGAGTGGGTTTGCACTGGTGTTACTGGAAGCCTAGTCCAAGGGTACCTGAAAAACCCAACCCAGGTAATAAGTTGTTAAGGGCACAAACAGACAATAAATTCTCAGATGTTATCTGACACTTCTTTCTTTGTCATATTATTTTTAGGCTCATCAAATCAGAAGAAAACATAATATGAAGAGATTAATGTTATGTTCACCATAACATGAAATTTAGCTTATCCATCTCAAGAGTGTAGCCTGCAGGCAAGCACACTTACAGGTAAACTAGCTAAACCCAAAGTGAAGCCAAATGCTCCCCACTAAAGTGCCATGAACCGTAAACTGAATCCTAGGGTTCAGTCTCTGTAGGCACTATGGGCAGGCTAGCAAAAGGTTTGGTTATTTTCTGATACTATTTCAGCAAAAGTGCACCATACCTGCTTACTTACTTACGATGCATAATGGTAGTAGTAACATAGCAGAGGTAACATAGTGAAATACATTTCAAAAACACTCCCAGATGATGTGGTGCTATGTGTTGATCCAGATCAACTGTTCTAAAGCACAGATAAGGCCTGTAGACTCAGGCACCTAGCAGGCAGTAATCTGAATTTCATGCTACCAGGGATGTGGTGCTATGTGTTGATCCAGATCAACTGTTCTAAAGCACAGATAAGGCCTGTAGACTCAGGCACCTAGCAGGCAGTAATCTGAATTTCATGCTACCAGGGACCCATGGCCTAAGGAATTTACCTCCTGAAACCAATGTAAATGCAGACAGACAGGCTAAAAAAAGGTCTAAAAAGGTTTCAGTAAATATTACAATACCTATTCAATCATAATAGAACTGTTCATCCAATACAATGGGGTTTAAATAAGTTTTGGACAAAACTCTGGGCCAACTTTTCAATTTCTTAATTGAAAGGATACTACAAAAAAAATTAACAATGACACTTTTTTCCCTTTAACTAATGGCAGAATGAACCTAAAAATCCAAAGATCCCCTCTGAAATGGCACAAGCAACATAGAGACTCCAACAACAAAAAATTCCAGACCCTGGGAAGCTGTAAGCAGTCTCCATTTAACTCAAGCAGTCAAACAATACTGATTTAAACCCTTCAAATATTTCAGCTGATATGTATTGTCATATATATAATTCTCAAGCTGAAAAGCTTTCTGACACAACTACTATTAGCTGGGGCAAATATACATGGTTTTGTGTGGCTTTTTGGCAGGGTGGCTGTGAGGATTACAGAGGTTTGAGAAGAATCATTTGTATGAATACAAGGAAATAAAGGAAGAAGTATCACGTAGTTTTTCTCAGAAAGAAATAGCTATTTTCATCTTTCTAAAATTATTCTTAGAGTGTTAATATATTTATGTAAGATAGACAAAAACGTTCTTGGAGCTAAATTAAGAAAACTGTGAAAAGGTTTTCTTATAATAGTGTACACTCCTGAAAAGTTTATTCTTTAAATGCTTTTCCAAACGTAAGGGATTTGAAGGTACCTGGTAAGCATGTAATTCTATACAGAACATGAGAACAACACGCATGAAAACACATGTACTCCAGCAGCATCCAACTTGCCAAGAACCTCCCCTATCATTCCCTCCATCAAACAGAAAAAACATTGGTGGTCCTCTAAACTGCAAAATAAACCATTTTAAAGCTGGTAACACAGGCTGTGGTGAGAAGAATCTTTAGTAAAACAAGCTTCTTCTCACAGTAAGTGTCAGACACTATCTTTAGAAACAGCTTCACGTTACAGAGATCATTTCAGTCTCAGCACCCACAATTTCTGTAACAACACACGAGCAAACTCGTATTAACTTTCCTGGTGTTAATCTGCAACATCAACAGAAACAATAACTATCTTACAAAATACAGCACTGCAGTTGTTTTCCCTTAATATCAAATAGTTACATCATAAGTAAAGAACATATAAAAAGAAAGTTGGCAGTTGATGAAAAATTACCTCTCCTTTATATTCCACTGGCTTAATTCCTGCATATAGTGGTATAAAGCTACTTGCTAGCAGGACCTAGAGAGAAGAAAGCAGAAAGAATAGAGAAAAAAAAATGAGAGAAAGGTGTCAAAGTAATTTTAAATGAATACATATCTTCATATCTATTTATATATATTAAATAATACAGCAGTAACCACTCAATATATTAGTTTTACATAAACCCACTGTCATCTCAAAATGTCTTCTTGTTGTGGTATGTCAAAATGTGATTAAAATTATTCAGTATGGTTGGCCTTTTTTTATGACTTGACAGTGACAGCTCTTAAAACAAAATATCAAAAATTAACTCATTGACTTATGTGATTCAAAAGAGTATGAGCTTAGTTTTGCACAATGTAAAGTATGTCTATAGTTTTGCAGAAACTAAATATGCATATGCTGGAAAAAAACCAATATATTGTCAAAGAAGAAACTGACCCAGTCATTCTTTTGGCATATTAATATAGCGTCCACTCTTCTAATAAATCAGATTTTCAAACTTTCAAAAATATTATAAACAACCCAAAAATTCACACATGTATATCTTTACCAGTATCAGTACTTTGCATTTAATACATTCAGTACTTAACAAATTACTATTTCCCCTACTGTAAGCCTTCATTGCTATCCACAGCAGCTCTCAGTTTGTTGTTTTTTTTTTTTTTTTTATATTAGGACACTGTTCTGTCATGTACAGATTTGCACACACACACACACCTTTCTATCCGTTCATAGCAATACCTGTGAGAGAATGTGTGTTTCTCTATACCTATGTATCCACTCACATATATATAAGCAACCAGTATACAGCATTTCAAAGAGAAAGTGTAAATGCATGGACAAAGTGCAATATGTCAGAATTTTTCATAGGGCTAAACAGGGTGAATCCACGGGCTTGTGTGGCGGCATAAAAAAACAATTTGGGGAACAGAAGCGGGTCCCAAACTGGTGTATATACTATGTGAAAGATCAGATGCAGAAAACCTCACAATCCATGGAGATTATGGAATAAAATGCCTGAGCTTTTTTGGGTGGAATTACACTTACTTTTACAAAAAAATTAAGCTACTTTCAGTATTAAGCACCTCTGCTCCCCTAAAATTTTAATTAAGACTGCATATGTATATGAAGTCTTCAACTTTCACTTTGAGAACTCTTCTCTTGCCTATTTCTCTTCCCAGTGATGTAGAGGACCAGAGCTTTGTCTGAGCTCAGATAAAAAGGCCTTCTCACTTTCCTTATGAAAACTGCAGCTATTTCTCTTTCCTTTCCCTCACAAAAGCATAACATAGGACTCCCAAGTTCCCAACATCAGCATCTTCCCCTGCCCAACTCCCTTTCTCCTCTCTACTTCAACTCCACCTCAGTAACTTTGGCCCTTCTAAAGGGAAAAAGGTTTAGTGAAAGAACAGAGTCAAAACCAGGTGACCTCTGCAAAACTTGAATTCTTTTCAAAAGGACTGAAGAAAGCAGTTGTTTTTCCTTCTAAAGTCACTTAGATCTCAAGAGTGAGGAGAGGAAGGACAAATTTGAAGAACACTTTCAGTATTTCTCTACCACTAACAGACCACTGTGGACTTCAATACACTGCTCCCACCTTTCCAAATTAAATACAACAGTCTTCAGTGTCCTGCTCCCTCACAAACACAAATCATGCCTCTCTTCCCTGTCACCTCCAGTTTAAGAACTGCAAGTCTAGGAATGCTGATACAAGACCACTGTCTTCACATATGTAAAGACTATTTCAAATGTGGGAGATTATTAACTACCTTCCATGTCCACTGGGAATAGCAAAAAAAATAAAAGCTTAAAACTGTAGCAACATATACTCAGTTCAGCCATTTTGAAAAATTTTGGAAACCGTGAGGCTTGTTAAGCATTGAAACCAAATGCATATGGAAGTTGAAAGATTTCTGACAGAGGGTACAGAAGTTTTGCTGTTTGTAAAACAGTTTGCTCAGCAGTATTTTTATCCAGCCTTCGAGGTAGCAGGTCATGTCTAGGCCTAATACAGTCAAATAACCAAACAAATTCTACCCTCCAAGCTACTGCAGCAGCCCCCAACACTCAGACAGCTGTACACACGACACACACAGAGATGAAGGTATGCACAAAAACATGTATTATGAGCTGCATTGAAAAATCAGACAATATGAATGTATTCCAGTGAGCAATTATTTGTAATTTTATTGCTATTATTCCAATCCATTTTACTGCTACCATAGAGAACAAAAGAATAGAATAGAAATGGCTAAATCAACGAGAGAACTATGGAAATACTAATATGTTCAAACTTCCGAGGTCATCCTAATGCTTCTAATTCTCTTCGGGTTAGAAGTTTTCACTGCAAAAACACATATACCTACAGAATAATAATCTCCATGCTTGTCACTGCTAGTTATTTCTATAGTTAGAAATTACAGTGCATAATTTGAGATAATAAACTTTTTGTATAATTATCTTTGCATGAGGAAGTCTTAAAAATTATGAGAACTAACATAATAGGATCAAGATTTTTTAAAATACTTTAAAGGCAAACTCCCCATGTATAGTTTGAGATTCTGTAAACAAGTGTGATTTTTTTAAAGCGATAACTGTAAAGAAACTCTTATTTGCTCTAAGCATCCACAATGATAGCAAAAGGAATTCCTCCTTATTCTTTTTTCTCCTTTATTCTGCTATATCTTATGATAATCTCCACTAAGATACAATCAATTACTAGAAAGAGCATGCTTTACATACATCTGACTTCCTCCTACAATTTCATATCAGCTTACGTATACAATCCTGATCCAAATTTAAAAAGTGACATTCAAATTAAGAGAAGGGCAGCAAAAGATATACTTTCCAGTACCAGATAAAATACAGATTACATACAGGACTTAACATTACATGATATCTATTCCACACAAAGACCTATAGGAAGTGTTGAGTTTTTTTTAAAACTTCTTTCACTTTCTTTTGTGATGAAACTTAATATAAATAGTGTCAGTGAAGTAAGAGATGCAAAAATTATTATAAAATTTTGATATTATTTTATTCTCATATACTGCAACCATGAGTTACCCTATTACTTTTTAAAAATATTTTGCCTACAAGGTAGAATATACCTTAATAATAACAGATTAAGGAAACACACACAAGCAAAAAATGAATTTTAGCAAAATTTGTGAAACTGTAGGATCAAATTCTGCTTCCATTGTTTATGTTATGGTTGTAGCACCACTGATAGTATAAGTGGTTATTTGAGTAATACAGTGATTCATTGTACAGCTAATAACATACTCTTAAGTCTTGAAGAAACTCAAGCATTTTTATTTAATGCAGTACTATTCAACTTCATTACCTTAATGAGGTCCTCCCTGGAGGAAAAATTTGAAACCAAGCGATTTTCCCCACTTTTTGAGTTAGTGACTGACACATAGAGCCGGTTCTCAGCTATCTCATGAACATTAGCAGGAAGAATAGACTCTATGCCCTCCCTAGAGAAAAGAAAATGCTCAACATTACTCATCATCATTATATAAAAATGTTGCAAATACATTAGTGGTGAAAGAAAGAGTGGTGAGCACTCCACAGTATAGAAGAAATATGCACACTCTTCATTTGCATTTGGAGAGCCCAACACAAAAGTGATCTTATAGAAGTATTAAGATAGGTACCTAAGTGTTTTCATAAAATCATAACCAGGTGTTACAGCACCGAAGTTCAGTTTTCTGACTTCCTCTGCAAATCCATAGGCAAAGTGCTTACATTGCTGGAAATGAAAAACATTAACCATTAAGGATGTTTCAGTGATGGGAAGTATGTTCAAGTGTAGTACCTAAAACATACTAGAGGCTAAAGCTTTAATCAAGAGAGAGCTAAAAGAGCCAACTGAAATACGTTCCCCTATGTGCTTGGTTTGTAACAAGATATGCGTAACAAAATATTGATACTTTTATAAGGACTAATTTGTAAGAAAAAAAAAATCCCTAATTAAAAAAAATTATAAACTTTCACAAGTATGTTACTTTAACAACCAAGGAAAGTTAAAGCTTATTTTTCTACACACTAGCACTGATAAATAATCAGCTGCCTAAACCATGCCCTTACAAAAACAATAATTTCTAATTCAATTCTAAAGCTACCTTTTATTTTAATCACTATTTCAGTACTAAAACCAGACACAATTACCTTAAGATGCTTATAAGCATTAAAAAAACTAAAATTACTACCATTTCTTCTGACCAATGGAAAAACCAAGCTACTAAGAAGTATACACATGAATACAATACTATGGAACTATTTAATGAACGGAATACTATGATGGATGACATAGGAAGAAAAGACACCAGATAAAAGTCTTGCACAGGGAATCTCTTTTATAAAAGTTGAAATGCCCATCATTAATGGCTACAGAAAAATAGCTTGAAGTGTGATCCATAAGAAATCCCAAAGGAGAGCAACGGAATTGGTAAAATTTATTTTTTAGTCATAACATGTTGAAACAATGAATTGTGATCCTGAGTGCTTAAGACTCAGTATTCAGTATTTGCAATCTTTTTTTTATCCTTTCATGCAGATTTCCCTAATGATTTTAAGGACTTGGGAAAAAACTAAATTCAGTCTTATGCAGTCTTATGAAATTGGTACTCTATAAATATATTACACCCATATTCACCTACATAACCACATGAAAAAAGAGATAGTTTGGGTTTCCTGGATTATTAGCTCCCTGCATGAAGAACAAATATGTTACTAGTAGCAAGATAAATTATTGAGTGACTGAAGAAACGCAAGAAAAAAAAAGGAGAAGTGAATGTGTCCTACTGGGGAGCAGGATAAAGGATTTGATGGAAGGAAAACCAGAAAGGAGTTGGGGAGAGGATTAGCATGAGATCAGGATCAGGCTGACTGAAGCATTTTAACTTCCTCACATCACTTGAACAACAGAGCACTCATCTAAGTGAAAGACAGAAATGTAGTTCTTGCATCCACTTTCTTTACATGGCATTTGAATAAATGTATTAAAGAAGTTCACTATGAGGTTCATATCGCTTAAAGAAGTGATCATCATAAATATTTGTGCTAATTAATTTCACGTAGGTTAGATTTGCACCTTTAGCCCATGAGGTACTTGCCATTGCGAGCTTCAAGCCAATTAAAATATATAAAATCAGTTATTAAGCCTTTAATTTATTTTACAGTAGGCAGTTAGGCTTCTTCTGTACTCAATCTGCTGGAAAGAGGCATATTCAGGCACATCTCTCTTTAAACAGAGAAGAAACTCACAAAACCCTACAAAGAAGTACCTTCAAACTACCATCTTTATATCTAAGAAGCTTTGATAAAGCGATGGGGAGCTAAGAGTAACAGGGAGCTGGATGAACCCAAATCTAGCTGAATGACAGAAAACTACATTCCATATTACAAATGCAAAGAATAGACCATACCTAGGCTCTCAATTCCTCTTCCCAAAAGGAACAACTTCTTACAACTATGAATTATTTTAGAATTTTATTGCTAAAAGCTTTAAACAATACATCTAAAATTTAAATAGTGACTGAGGACATGTTTAGAAATTGTAACTATATCGACTTAAGCAAACTTGATATCAAACGTGATCAAAGTACTTTTTTAATAAATAGGTATTTATCGATAACTATATATGCCTCCCTGGAATTCTGAAGTCCCACACCTTTTCAGCAGCGATAAAAATCCAAGATATGACAGAAAAACATTTGGAAACTGTCTTATTAAAACAGCAACAGTCAAAATAATAAATCCTCAATGTTATATTCACTTTAAGATAAGGACAGGTTGCATTAGAGCTCTGAGATTAGGAGATGCAGAAAGTCCTAATTATGGCTTGTCTAACATTGCCATCTCTGGGGAGAGAGGAAAAAAACAGAAAAAAATAATTAAATTATTAAAAGCTATATCTGTGGATATTAAATATTTCAAGATAGAAATGTAGGAAAGATAATAATATAATTATCCTGATAGGAAAAGTTAATTCTATTCAGTACGCAACACTGCCTTTACTTAAATTCCATGAGAATTAGAAAGAATTATTCCCCCTGATAAAATAGCTCTCAATTTTCCATTTAAACAATATAAAAGAATAACTAAAACATACATAAAAAAATCAAAGGCACTAAAAAGTTAATGAAACATTCTTCAGTTTGCAATAAAATGACAAATTTTCAAAGGAAAAATCCATCAGATTCAATATAATACAGCCTTAGTTTCCACAAACAAAAAATAAAAATTGCTCTAATATTTTTACTTAGAAATATCTTTGTAAGTTGGACCAGGCTGAGAACAAGTGCTCATACCCAGAGCCTACAATAAGCAGAAAAATTCCCTTGGGCTAACAAAGGGCTGCTGTGCTCACCACAGAAGAAATTAAAGTCAGAGGTACCCATTATACCAGGCAAACTTGGGATTGAACCACCAGTCAGAGGTGACAGAAAGGGAGTAGCACCTGAACAGGATAGGAGTAAGGCTCTTTTCACACCAGTGTAACTTGCCTAGTACCAAATCATATAAAGAATGCACCTGAGGGAGTCAGGTGGGGGAAAGAAGCCAGGGAAGAACCTACTGATTAAAGCAACAGAAGTATAGCTAATGCTGCAAGCTGAATTCATATCCCAGCAGAAACGACCAACACACAAACTAACAGAAAGGTCAGTGGCCAAGTGTGGTTTGGCTGGGACTGTTATTTGAATCAAATGCAGTGAAATAAGCAAGGCCTGGAGAAAGTTACCCAACACTCACAGAACTGAAATATAAGTGTACTTAGACCAAAAATCTAACAGCCTGTTTTCCCCCACAATAAGACATTAAAGAAATATTAACATTTTCGTAATACCTAGTCCTCTACATATATTAATGCAAAGTCACTACAAGCATTTCAGAAGGGCAAAGCAGCCTTAACCTCTGGGGAAAAATCAAACAAAAAGTAAAAAAAAGTTATGCTCTCCCACAGAACCTGTAACAGTGCAGTCATTAAATAAAACTCTGGCGTCTCTACGTGACACCATATGCACAGTGAGAAAGGAGTGGCATCTCTGGAGGAGAAACAACCCTGACACATGCATGTAGTGTGTGAGAACAGAATGCTGCGAGGGTTAATCCCCCCAGGAAAACAGTGGGGGCTACTGCTGGTGAGGAGTGGGCTGTACTGAGTCTAAAGAAGATGCACAAGCCACTTCTTATGCTGTCTAATGGAGCACAGGCAGCAAGGAAAAAAATTGAGCAGGTGTGTGGTGTTTATGAAGATAGACTACCATCTACCATTTTCATGTCCTTTCACAGAAGGATGAAATGATGGTGCTGTGCACTTGCTTAACAAAGCCTATCTCTAGCCAAGGAAAGAATGATTCACTTTGTAATATACCACCATTAAGTAGATATACGTTTTGGTATATTAAACTATACCTGCTTGCCTACAACTCAACATTCACACACAGAAGATTTCTATTTATGTAGCTTAAAATATAAAGTTTATATGAAATATTTTTGTCATAAATGTTTTTGCCCACAAGTCACAGATGTGGTTAATGAAAATACACACAAGAGTTCTGTTCCTAGCAAATAGCAAGAAGAAAAAAACAAGAAACTTAATATTTTAATAAACTTAACTGAAGACAATTATATTAAAAACGTCCTTTGAAAATTATCATGGCCTATACCTACGAGTTTACTAATTTACCTCTATATTTTCTGGCACTGCTAACAAGACAGCAGCAGTCAGAGATCCCGCAGAAGCTCCCGCAAAAGCTTTCACATCTGTCAGTAACTTCTTACCATGCCTGTAAAAAGCAGCTGCTGCCCCCAAGTGGTAAATTCCCAGAAAGCCACAAGCTGCAAAGGACAGGTTGATGTGTTTCATTTGTGCTGCGGAAATAAGGTGTCACAGTAAGCAAGAAGGATGTGTTCATTTCGTCTTGTAATATACGTCTATTCTTTTGGCATAGAACACATAACAAACCGTATTTACATAACAAAAAGCAGTTTACTTAAAAGCAGTAAAAACTTTTGATTACTAAATACATCGAACAAACAGCAGTTAGTTTAGTATCTCCAAAACTGAAAACAACCCTAAAATAAGCCTTAGCACAAATTCCTTTTTAAATCGATCAAAAATATATATCTTTATGTACACATTTTCATCTAATTTGTCAAAGAAATGCAAACTAAAAGTAGCTAGTCAAAAGTGATAAAAAATGCCTTTGGAGAGCAAACATTGCCAGCCACCTTGACTAAAAAAGTCAAATTAATTATAAAACTGCTGGTTACTGTCTCATCACGTAGAAACAGGACAAGGGGAATGGATTCAAACTGAAAGACAGTAGGTTCAGATTAGATACTAGGAAAAAATTCTTTACTGTGAGGGTGGTGAGGCACTGGAACAGGTTGCCCAGAGAAGTTGTGGATGCTCCATCCCCAGAAGTGTTCAAAGACAGGTTGGATGGAGCTCTGAAAAACCTGGTCTAGTGAAAGGTGCTCCTGTCCATGGAAGGGGGGTTGGAACTAGATGACCTCTAAGGTCCCTTCCAACGCAGGGTATTCTGTGATTCCAGGATCATACTTCCCTTACACACGCAAAGCCTTGAATCCATTATAATTCTCTAAAAAAGGAATTTTTTCTGTCACCTCTGAAACTCATTTACTTACTAGTATTATTGACAAATTCTTAAAGTAATTGCTAGTTTAGAAAAGAAAAACACACAACATATTGTTGCTACTATTTAAATAAGAAGGAATCAAAAATAATCAAAGTAAAATACAAAGCATTAAATGTATAAACACACACATAGTATGAAGATGTCTAGGGTAGAATTTAAAATTAAAAAAAAATGCAAACAGGAAATATTAGTTCAGATCATTAGGAATGGTTAACTAACTAAATAAAATATAATGATGTACATTTTATTAGTTCTTCTGTTTCTGCAAATAACCACAATTATAAGGTATTCCACAGATTATATTGTACAGATATATGAGATATTGTACACATTATCTTAGTATTGAATTAAAAATAAACTGCTACTATATTTGGGTACATCTCAATATGGAAACAATCAGTCCTGATGAAGAGAGGCAAACATGTACAGCAACATATTTTGGTTAAAGATGCCTCTTCAACTCTAAAATGGGAAGCGCAGGAAAGATCCAAGGGTAAGAAACAGCTTTCAAAACCAGTAGATAAGAAGACATGCTCAACTCAGCTGCTTTACCCATGGCATGATTACAATCAGACCTGATGGTCTAACCAGGTTTCACTGACATGGAGAGAGAAAATCATAGTGCCAAGGAATATTTGGTGCATCAGTCATTCCAGTAAAACACTACATTATCATAAAGTAGTTTATCAGCTGTGCTTTACCCCCTTTGCACTGGAAATGCTTGCATTTACACCTGTAAGTAGGAATACTTGTAACAAATCTAACACACTTGTACTCATAGAAAGTTTTAGAGGTTGGCTCTTGCTGTGACAATATGAGAGAAAGGCATTAGAATGATGCAAATGAAAATTCCTTTATTATTTTTAAAAAGAAAGGATCTTTTAATTTAAAGAAAAGTCACTGTACTGAATAGAAGATTTAAAAAAGTTTACTCAAGATGTTACTGGAATATAAAGAAACACAACCCTACTTTGATCTTATTTTTTTTAAATAGAGTGGAAGAAAACTAAAACAGCCTTTGAACTATGATGTCATGATGTGCTTTTTTTCAGTCTAGTTAAACTCTCAGGAGTTTAACCAACTGCTGCAGCTCTCTCCATGCCTTCTACAAATTAGAAGCAAAGGTGCCTTTGCATCACAGGACACTCTGACAAAAAAGTGAAGCTGGTTAAAGCAAATGCAGTATTATGTAGGTATAAAAGCAAGCATGGGAGAATCAACTCCCATTTCTGTCCAAAACAGACTTCAAGGTCAAGACACTACTAACATGAAATATTATGTGAAATAAGGACTACATTTACATTGCTGATTGGTCAAAAAAAACCCGTGAAGTATGAGTTCATAAATGCAAATAACTACATCTAAGGGACCTATGAAATATAACTAAGAAACACAGTGTAAAATAATAGGGTTATGTAAATAAAAATAAGAATGTGGATGCTTATGTTCATGTATATACACATCCAAATCTTCTACAAGGCTAATACTCCAAAAAGTATCTCTCCCTTCTGGAAAATAATTAAATGTTCACAAATCAAAAAAATATGAGAACTAAGAAGTATCTAAAGCATAGTTACAGCAAGAAATTTTAGATTGAAAGATTTTTTTCAAAAAGAAAAAATTCTCTACAAATACAGAAATCCACTTCACTGTATACAGAACTGGCTGGCACATTTTGTCTAAAGTAAGAACAGAAAAGGAGGCCATGTGAACTGAAGAAACTATTTGAATCTCAGACCAAAAACTAAAGTCAGATATCCATGCCTTCTCTTACATGGCTTCATGAGGAAATTGTAGCTTCTTATATGAGCCTTAGTCCTATCTAATTATCAGTCACTGGGAGTAACCACTGTTCTCTTTTGAGTGTCTGGATACCTGGCATTCATTCACTCTTTGATGAGAGTTGATTTCTTAACACTTAGATCCCATACTTCTCTGCCTCCTTCATTTCCCTACCCTAGAGACAAAAAGAGAGTTTACTGAATGAGTATTCACATCAGTTATCTGACTGACAAAAGCACTCAGTGAGAGACAAACACACAAAAAGAAAAAAGAGCACTAAGATTTCAAGTCAAGGAACACTGTTCGAAAACACTCACTTTTATAAGAATATAAACTTTCCCATTTCTTTTGATTCTTGCAAATATGCCATGGCATTACTTGATTTGCAAATTATAATGGTGTATTTTAAAGACAGAATGATGCTAAAATGTCTTTTGCTTTGATGATCTAGTAGATCACTGCTATTTTGATCAAAAAGAATAGTAGGGTTATAATAACTCCAAAGAGGACACAGAGAGAAATTTAATTAAGTCTGCAGTATGACTATTCCCTGACAATTTCTAACAGAGTAACAGAAATAGGAGCACAGTCATGTCTGGACACAGACCACTTCTTTGAGCTGCCTGCGCAAAGAGCAGAAATCTTTGTATCTTAGAAATGGTACGAAACATCTGTTCAACAAAACTTCAGAACAAATATTCTTAGAAGGTTCAACATAAATTGTGACCATTAAATATATTGATACCTATAATGCAAAATTATCATATTACCATGTCTTAAGAAAAAAACTCATTGAATCTTAAAAGATGCATAAGCACATTTCAGCTGGACAGTACATATACTGTAGAGATATGACATAAACAGGATATAGCAAACGCTTTTGCCACTGCTTTTCAAAAATGCTGTCATTTTACATGATTGGCAAAATTCAGACTATGAGGACTTCAACTGGCTAAGGGAATAGGAATGCTTCTGTTGGCTCCAAGAAAAAAACCAGAAGCGTAAGACAAGATATGTAAAAGAAGAAATGAGAACAACACTGGGGCAGTTCAATCTCATTACTTTACAGATAACGCAGGAGCATTCAGGGATAAACATAAACCTCAGAGTTCTCTTTAAAAGATTACCACATCTGCAGGGAAAAAATAAATTAAAAAAATTCACTGATGATTAAAAATCTACTGGAGGTTGGGGGCATTTCTGTTTGTTCAGCAGTATCTCATCCATTTGTAATGCAAATCTTCAAGAGAACATATGTAAGGAGACAAGACTATAGAGAAGAATTACGATACAGTACCATACAGATTTTTCAGGATGGGTATTGTCTTCCTGATTGTCATACAAGAGAAATAGCACAACAGTTTCTCATGTGGCTGTTTCCTGAGCAACATAATTACATTGTATGATCTCAGGGTCTTAACTTGTCATAACTACCACCCTGTCACTCCATTTGTAAACAAAAGCTGAAAATGCCCAAAGCACTTGAATAAAAAAACCTTTACAAACAAAAACTAAATATACATAGAATGCAAATGACCAAATACCCTGAAGCACAGGAGCTAAAAAGTATGATGCATAACAGCACATCTGAGGATTAGTTATTAGTGAAGAATGACAAAACAAGCAAAGCCACAGAAAGAACTCTCTAGCTAGGCAGCATTGCTAAAATAGAGGTCATAAGTGTAACTACTGATTTACCTGAATCAAAAATCAACATTGACACAGAAATGTTTAACTGTTTTTTCACATTTATAACAGGAAGTTCACTAGCATCATCACAAACCATTTATAGTCTTCAGTGAATATAATAGTTCAATGAAATTGAAGCAAAAAACATTAAAATAATAATAACACAAAATAATAAGTACACAATTTAATCAGCCATTAAGAAACAGGAAAATCACATGATATTTTTCAAATTAAGATTTTAGACCATCTTGACCCTTAATACAAGTTGTCTACATTGGGCAGGGAAGGCTGACTTCTTAAGAAGAGGGCAGTAAAAGGTTCAATACCTTCTAATGAATGATGACTTCCATCATGTACTCCACTGGAACTTTTTCCAACAGGTATTTTAGTTCCCTCTGCACTAGCAGCCGTTCTTCTATCAACTACTGATTGTTTATCATTCACCTTGGAAACCTACAATCATACAGTCAAATATTATTATTAAAAAGAGAAAAAACAACAAATAAGATGACATTATTTAACACTAAACAGATTAATAAAGTCAAATAAAATAGTTGTAAAATCATCTGGATGAATTTCTCAATTGCTTAGCCCCCACTAAACTAGTTTAAACCACAATGTTCTGCTAGTTACACATGCAGCAATTCATATTTTAAAGATGAATTTCATTAGACATTGAAAAGGAAAAACATTGCCACTTGGAACAGTGAGTGTCCAAAATTAGTTTTATGTCTTTTCCCACTACTTTTGTTTATCACGGCTAGGCTTCGTGAACGAAGATTTGGGAAGGGCTCTACCCACATTGGCTACAAGCGCACTGGTGGCTAAAGAGGTCAATGCCTCTTTAGAGATAGACAAGTCTGGTTGCAAAAGGCACAACAGAAAGACTCCTTCAATGGTATTGGCAAGACATATATAAACCCATATATATATATATATACGCATATATATATATATTTATGGGGTTTTTTACAATCAAACTCTTATGTTTTTATCCTCCCCTACCAATACATTCCCCCCACCTTTGTTGCACAATATTGCATCAGTAAGTCATTTTCCAGAGAATTCTGGTCCTATTTTTATCTAAACGAATGTCACTCTAACTATAATCAGCCTGTCAGTTATCATGCAGTATTGCCTGGAGTGTAATTTGAAGAAAATTACCACTTCTCCCCAACTTAAAACTATCAGACACAAAAAGTTTCTTCTGAAACGATGGTACTCCAGTACTTGTTGCTGCCTGCCTGCCCCTTTATATAAAACTGAAGGCATCTTCATAAATAACATGCAAGATCAAAACCTTAGTTCCATAGATTCTAAAATAAATTATTTTTTCACTGTATTGATGCACATCACTTATATCTACAGAGCATCACAAAAACACTTACCTGGAATTTAACTCTGGTACGTGGTGGTCTTACAGTGCAAGAGTTTGGAATTCCAATCCAGAAGTGATGAGTTTTGGGAAAGGTGCAACTATACAGTCGGCCTTCTTTCAACCGCAGCAACAGTATTTGAGCACTATAAAGACTTTTAGCAGTCCACATTTTCTTAAAAGTGACGTCTGGATCCAGATGATGTGGTAACCAAACTGACAGTCTTGTTAAAGTTACAAAGGAAGCATTAGTACATGAGCTTGGATTCCATAGAAGCAAATAGCAGAAACTTTCTCCTAGGTATAACCTGTTAAAAAGACATTAGAGAAAAAAAAAATGTAGCTGAATGGTAAGTTGCACATCAAAACCCTGATACTGTAACAAGGTCCTCTTCACACCCCTCTCACTTAAAACACACAAATGCATTAACAGCTGATTCACTAGACAATGGAACAGTTCCAAGGAGAACTTCTGTTCAGCAGCTTCTCTCTTGCCTTCACCAGCCCCCATCTGGAACCCTGTTGTTCACTGCTGTCCACGAAGTCAATCGTTCATTTCAGAAACAGGAAGGATTAAAACTGAAAATAATGCAAAAAGCAAGCAAACAAACGAATACAGTGTCCCCTTCAACTTCTGCTGAAAAACGCCAAAGGAGTGATCCTGCAACTTCAACCAACTTGTTCACAAAAAACAAAGTACTGATGCCGGGACTCTAGTAAGAAAAAACCCACAGCAGGCTGGCTGGTACACGGCAAGCCTTGTAATCTTCTACGCTACAAGGATATAGCAGGGGTTACTCACAAACCCAGTGTAAGACTGGTTTACACCGAGCAAGACTTTAACCATAAAGAACAATGTGTAGAAATATTCTCTTTTAGACGAAAAGGAGGTTCTCGACTAAGCCCAGTACAAACAAAACCAGTGTGACCCTGAGCAGACCAGGTCTGAGCGGAACTGTGCCAACTTCCCACTTCATCCCAACCAAGTAACCGAGTTAGAGGTTTTCTGTTTCATCTCGTGTGCTATGAGATCAGACCTACGCCGCAGTTGGGTTTTTCCTGTCCCCACTCCTGTCCAGCAAACAGCCGATACAAACAGGCAGAACAGATCTGAAAGGCGAGACAAGTTCTTGAAAGGTAACGAGCACTGAACGTCCAGTGACAACCGCGGGCGCACAGCGCCAGGGGCAGTCCCTGCGCCTGTCAAACTCAGAGCAGGCGGGCGCTCCCTACGCGGGACACGTCCCTTCGCACTCAACATCCTCAACCCCAACTCCGGTCTTTCCCTGTCTCCCTCCCCGCAGGCTCCTGCCCCAGCCCCTCCGGAGGGGTTCTAACGCGGCCTACGCAAGGCAGAGGCGGCACCCTGCCCGACTCGTCCCCACCTCCCCCGTCAGCGGCCCCGGAGACAGCCCCAGCGGCGGGCAGCGGCGGCTGCGGGCGGGTCGCGATCGGGAGCAGCAGGTCGCGGGAGGTCGCGGCGGTGCCGCCCGGCCCCGGCCTTGGCACCGCCCCCGCGCGCCTGCGCAGCGCGGGTCCGGGGCGTGCGGGGACCCCGGGGCGCCCTGAGCGCCCGGAGAGGCCGCGGCTGCGGGCGGGGCCGTGCCCGGGGAAGGCCGTGCCCGGGGGAGGTGGCTGCGAGCGGGCCGTGCCAGGCAGAGGAAGCCTCGGCTCGGCCCCGCCGCTGGGCCGGAGGCCGCTGAGTGGGGGTGTGCCGGCGGGCCCGGCCCGGCCCGGCCCCTCCGGGGGCTGTCGCTGCTGTCGTGCGGGCGGGTGTCCGCTCCCCCAGCACCGCCCCTGTGCCGGGCCGCGCGCCGTCTGAGAATGTCCTGGAGCTGGCGGAGTGACCTCAGGGTGGCAATAAAGATTAAATTTTTTCCCCATTTTTTCATAGAATCATGGAATAGAATCATAGAACAGAATCATAGAATCAGTTGGGTTGAAAAGACCTCTGAGGTCATCAAGTCCAACCCTTGATCCACTACCACCACGGTTAACTAGACTAGGGCTCTAAGTGCCAAATCCAGTCTCATGTTAAAAACTTCCAGAGATGGAGAATCCACCATTTCGCTGGACAGCCCATTCCATTTTGTGAGTGTTTGTGACTGTGTCATTACAGTCTGGGCAAGAGCCAGAGCAAACATGGCTCACAGCTTCAAGATGTGGTGGATCCTGCAGCCAGCAGCAGATGAAGGAGGCACACGCTTTACTGAGGGAGAACAAAGATGCCTGTGGGAGAGAAGTGATCATGTCTGAGCTCTCCCTGGAGTCTGTCGGGTTAAAACTAAACTGGGGAAAAAAACACTTTGTATATTTAACACAGATTAGGCTCCTTGACCCGTGCCGTCCGTTGTCCTTGCTTTTTACTGGTATCTGAGAGATACTGGGATGGATTTGGAATAGAAGGAGGTGCAGCTGTTTTGGCGGGGGAACCCTGGCAGCTTCTGTTGTCTAAAGCGTTTATGCAGAGTTTAGCCAGCTTTTCAACTGCTAAAGAGCAATAGTTACAAAACAGAGCCCTGGGATTGTCTTACAGAAACCACACGGTCTCATCGTGGAGTTACTGTCTGCTCTTTTACATCATCCTGCACTCTTCCCCCATATTTCTAGGATGAGCTTTTAGGTGAGAATACCAGATAAGCCCTAATGGTGAAAAAAAATCTTGCCTTAATTATAACCAGAGTTCTAATTTGTAGTGGTCAGTATTATCATTAGAACTACACTTGCGTCTAAATTAATACTTGGTTGACAGCTGTGGGAAGTACAAAGATCACAAACACGGGAGGAGGACCTTTCTCATGCTTTCAGATGTGTACTCAAGTACATTAGTTAGCTTCTTGTTCCTTCTGTACTGTGTCTTATCTATTAATGAACTGGAAAATGGGTGATGTAGATTAAGCTTTCTGAGTTTCTGAGTTGGTGTAAATTAAACCTTTAATCATGGATAGTTACAAGTATAAAAGCAAGTCATTGCCAAGGACAGCATATGAGATGGTGTCTCAAATGTAGCAGCTGCCACTCAGAATCACAGAATCATTAGGGTTGGAAGGAACCTCTGGAGATCATGTAGTCCAACCCCCTGCCAAGGCAGAGTCGCCTAGAGCAGGTGACATGGGACAACGTCCAGGTGGGCTTTGAATGTCTCCAGAGAGAGGGACTCCACAACCACCCCGGGCAGCTTGTTCCAGTGCTCTGCCACCCTTAACGTAAAGAAATTCTTCCTCATGTTGAGGTGAAACTTCTTGTGGTTTAGTTTATATCCATAAAAAAGAAATACTTGTGTCTCCTTTGGCCTAAAGACTTCTTAAGGACATTGAGGTGCTGGAGCATGTCCAGAGAAGGGCAATGAAGCTCGTGAAGAGCCTGGAGCACATGGTCTGTGAGGAGCAGCTGAGGGAGCTGGCATTGTTTAGCCTGCAGAAGAGGAGACTCAGGGTGACCTAATTGCTCTCTACAACTACCTGAAAGGTGGGTGTAGCCAGGAGACGGTTGGCCTCTTGTCCCAGACAGCCAGTGACAGGACAAGAGGAAATGGCCTCAAGCTGTTTCAGGGAAGGTTCAGGTTGAACATCAGGAAGAATTTCTTCATGGAAAGGGTTGTTAAACATTGGAATGGGCTGGCCAGGGAGGTGGTGGAGTCACCATCCCTGGAGGTGTTTAAGGAAAGACTGGACATGGCACTTAGTGCCACAGTCTATTTGACATGGTGGTGTTTGATCATAGGTTGAACTCAATCTCAGAGGTCTTTTCCAACCTAATTGATTCTGCAAGTCTGTGATTCTTTGACTCCCTATCTCAACTCAATCCTTTCTATTTTTCATAGGTAGACTCAATCAGACCCTTATCCTTTAAGTGTCAAATCTTATTTAATCTCCTGCATGTTCACATTTAGATAAATTTATCTATATTCAACATTTTTATAGAATGACATACATATTT